CCTTTTGGGACCTGAACAGTTATAACACATCACCAAATATGCAACAAAATACAAGTTACAACATACAAATAAGCTATGTACAACTAGGAAAATATACCTGGTTCCTTCCTCTGCCCCTAGTACTACCCCTGCCCCTTTCAACTCCCCTGTTCCCACTTGAAGCACCTCAGCTAGAGCCATCAACATCTGAACCCCTTCCCCTTCTAGCATTGGCAACAACACCTGCTCTACCCCTTCCACCCCTTGATCCCCTACCCATTAGTATTGTTCTTCCTCCTCTACCAAGTATGGTAGGTTGAGTAGTTAGGGAGTGGTGGGTTGTATCAATTTTTTGCCTAAAAGAGGGTATAGCCTGAGTGGATTGCACAGATGTTGGTGTAGGTTGAGGTGCAGCTGCAGTTGCAGTATGTTCAGCAACCTTGCGAGGCCTCTCTCTAGCCCTTTTTGGAGCAGGTTCATGTGGTTGTACATTGTCCTTGTTAGGGCACTTTATTTTATTATGCCCTTTTATTTGGCAAAGGGAACAAGTCATTTGAATCCTTGTTTTTGTCAAGGAACCAGATTTTTTGGGGTTCTCATATGGATCTTTGATTCGATTTTTCCTTGGCCTCCCTGGACCAATTTTGATTGGTGGAGGATCAATAGGCATAGACACTACTGGCTAGTGTCTTTCACCTTGAATTAGTGGAATGAAGCTTAACAAAATCCAGAAAAGAAAGGCATTAGTTCACAACTAAAGTGTCAGACCAAAATTCATGCCTTAATGGTAGATTAGTTACCTGCATACACTAACAAATAAGTGTCCCTGTAGTAGCATTTATCCACAAACAGCTCTGGTTCCTTGCCCAGAAAATATATGGAAGCCACTGCATGACAACATGGGATGCCAAGCATGTCCCATTTCCTACAAGTACAACTCCTACTTTTCAAATTCACCACCAGCTGATCTAAGCTGTAATTAACATTGAAAAGGGTTTCAGAGGAAGGAGTTACTTCACATTCTGCAGCCTTTTCCTTCTCAGCTTCCAACTTGGCTTGAATTCTTGGACAAAGCATTAAGGTGGCTTTCATCATAGCTTGCCTTTTCACCACCAATCTTTGCATCAAAGTAGCTCTTATGTCTTCTAACATGTAGAGCAAATGCTTGGTCCTTGCTTGAATAATGTACCCATTGAATGTCTCTGCTATGTTTGAAGTAATTGCATCAGTCTTGACTGCAGGATTCAGAAAAGCTATGCAGAATAATTCAGGCCTATGCAATTTGAAGTCATTGGCTGCATTCACATTCAACTCTGCAAGCTTCTCAAGTCCTTCATTGTAATCGACCATATTGTATGCCTTTGCAATCCTCCATAACAACAATTTCAGCTCATCTCCTTTATACTTCTTGTGCCAGTGAGCAAATATGTGTCTAGCACAGTGTCTGTGCTTTGCCTTAGGGAGAACAGTTGAGACACTATGCACTATACTCTGTCAAATCACAAAACAAACAATAGAGAATTCAATTGAGCATAGTCCACTATTATAGGCAAAGTATATAAAATTAGCTCATCTAAAGAATTAAGTTAGGAATCATACCTGATGCTCATCAGAAATGATTGAGATCCCTTCTCCTTCTTCCTGATTTAGACAAGCAGCAAGTTTCATGAAGAGCCACTCTCAGCTGGAGTTTTTTTCACCTTCAACTACAGCCTAGCACACTAGGAACATCTGGTCATTACTGTCCCCGCCAACAGCAGCCAACAGTTGACCCCCTACAAAGGTCTTCAGAAAACAGGCATCCACTACCAAGACCTTCCTACAACCTTGCATCCACCCAGTTTTCAAACCTTCAAAACATATGAACAGTCTCTGGAAAATTGGTGGGAAAGCCTGCTATTCAGTGTCAGTTAAAAGCTTCAATTCTATTCTAGGACTGCATTCCTCTATTGCCTTCAAATACCCTCCTTGCTTGTTGTAGTGGTCATGCATTGACCCATGTAACAGTCTATGGGAAGTGTATTTAACTGTATAGGCAAAGTATTTGGTGACTAGCATCCTGTATGCTTTCTTTACACACTCAATAATCTCTTTTGCTGGCCAATGTGGCCTGGTTTTAAACACATCTAGATATTGCTTTGCAACAAAACTTGATTTGAGCTGCCTGTTCCTCTTCATATTTCTCTGACAAGTGTGAACACCATTCACTGTCTTCACAATTATTGTAGCTCTCCTACTATCCCAGGAAGCATACACATAGAATGGACAACTTTCTATGCATTTGACACCTAACCTTTGTGATCTATTTTTGTTACTTACAACAATACTCACATCTTTGCCCTGCAATACTCCATACTTTGCTATAGCATACTTGAAATCCTCTCTATTTGCAAATTTCTGCCCAACTTTCCACTCAAAAGTTACAAAATCTGTTTGTTTAGACACCAACAAACCTAATCTTTTTCTCCTTACAGGAATCAAATCTTCCTCACCATTATCAGGTGGAGTATGTATTTCCTCATCACTCTGCTCATAATCATTCTGGGGGCTAGAAGGTTCACCAGCTGCAGCTTCCCCAACCTCCTGTTGTATGCTTACACCCTTAGCTGCTTCAGTTTGGATTTTCCTTGCAATATCAACAAGCTGGGCAGTTGTATCCCTTACCCTTTGCCTAGCTATGTTGTACTCTTCATCCCCACTGTCAGACTGATACTGTAGCTCCTCATTCAAAATCTCTTCAGTCTCCTTCTCGATCATACTCTTCCTCTGCCTCCTTAAAAGCATAATCCTTTTCACCTATATCAGCACCACCATCAAACTCTGCATGTAACACATCCTCCTCCCCACACTTCTCCAAAGAAAGGCTGACTACTGACTCCTTTGCCTTTGTCAACTTGTGGGTTGTAACTAGGGTCAGCTGTGTCACTGTCACTGCTAAAATCTGGTATCAAATCATTAATAGGGATAAGGCTATCAGGCCTTGAATCTTCCCACTCATAACTGTTGATAGGGTCATTTTTTGTGTTTGCAGCTGCTTTGGAAGAGGGAGTGGGCTGAGATATTTCAAATGTGGTATTAGGGTTTATAACATATTTTATTCTACATGTACTTTGGTTAGATAGGGTAATGGTTGGTGGATTGGGAATAACTTCAGTGGGAGCATCTTTTTTTGGCTTTAGGGAGCTGTCAAAGGCTTTTTGGGAAGGTTCATCAATAGTCAATGGCTGACTTTTCTTTCTTGGACTAGATCTAACTGGTGGTCCCCTCTTTATTGGTAGTTTTTTGGTTCTCACAATTTTGGGTTGGGTCTGTTTTGAGGAAGCAGGCTGTAGTTCAGAGGGGAAGGCTATTGGGTCATTGTCACCATGCATAGCATATACCTCCACCCTCCTATGCTTCTCTGCCACCTGTATCATTTCCCTCATACTTTCATCATCTGTCACTTTCCTCAAACCATCCACCATACTGAGTCCGGGAACTTAGTATAAAAAGCCCTGAATTCTACCATCATATCTAGCACACTTCATAACCAACTCCACAAGATAAAAGGAGCACAGTAAATCAGGGTCTACACTAAAAGTTCTACCTTACCCATTCATATAACACAACCCACCATTGTCAAGCTGCTGAAACACCCCTCCATGCCACATTTTCAAGGGTATATTATTGCGAGATTTATGACCCATACCTAAATTAACAAGAATTATAGAACAATCAACAGTCAACAAAAACAACACAACAAAAACCTAGCATTTAGGGTTTGAACTCAATTAACATAAACCAACAAAAAAAATCACAACATAAGACAAACAAACCACAATTCGCACCCATAATTACCTACCATATAAATTGAAATCCAATAGGCAAAATCATGATTTCGAGTTTAATTGCTTAAGGTTTGAGATACACTTGCAAAATTAGCAAAATTTTAGGCGGACATTAGGGTTCAAAAACTTACCTAGAATGGAGTTCTTTGCTGTCCAAATATCACCAAGAATGGAAGCTTGAGACTTTAGGGCACCATACTCAAGTGGTTGAAGCTTCAATTATGGCTGACGAAATATTTTTATAGGCTTTGTTCAAGTGAGTAATGAGGGAGGAGTTCTTTCAAACATTAACGAGGGTGGTTGGGAGGAGGGAGAGATGACCTGGCATCTTTTAGGGGATAAATTAGAGAACCCAAGTCCACGTAAGAAGGCTTTACCTTGTTAGCCGGTTCCAAGTAAGATGGGACCAATAAAAATTAAAGGCACCCAAAGGTCGGATTATTAAATAATATCTCAAAGGTGGGATTATTAAAAAAGAATGGCCTAAAGGTGGGATTATTCCCATGAATTTTTCCTTATTAAAAAGTTTAATAAAATATGACTATAATTAAAGAAGTAAGGTTCTAAAGGATGTTTGTCATATATGGAATAAAGTAAAGGTGACTCGAAAATTTTAAAATATCTCAACTAGATAGTGAGTCAAATATTCAAGATGTTTGTGATTTTAACGTCCATTAATCAATATAGATACAACCTTCGTTTCATAGTATTTGCAACAAATGTTTATTAATTTGTCTTTTCTCTCTATTACTTTCCTCATCCAATGCATCCTTATTCTTCTCCCTCCATTAATCACCCACCAAATTTTTTTTCATAAGAATTTGTACTACCCTTCAAAGTTGCATGTAATAAGATACAAAGGTAATATAAAAACTCCCGATGTAATGAAATTCTGATATAAAAATTACACCAAAACAATTAGTGGAGAGCTAGCTTGACGCAAATTTTAACTAAGAATAGTTAGTGGATATCACAATCAGAAAACAATTCGTCAAAAACTTGGTTGAAATTATGACATTTCAAAAGGCCAATTGAAAAAAATGATCTTGTTAATGATTAAAATATTCCATATATACATAGTGGGGTGTAATAAAATGTAGAACATTATCTATTGCCATTTTAATTAATTCAAGTTGATAAGTATAATAATAACCAATTGGTCAGGATAAACATACTATAAATAGAGCAAACTTAGTGTAGTTCATTCACCAACATTCAACAATACAAAATCCAATTACACCCCTTCATACTTAAAACACAAATTTGGCAAACAATTCTTCGTGACAAAACAGTAATGGAAGGCAAAGTTGGCTACAAGAGAATCATAGTAGCACTCTTTTTCATCGTTGCAACTGGTATTATTACCTCTTCCATTTTAACTTCATATTTTTCGGTTTCATATATGAATGACCAATGGACTAGCATGAGCATGCGCAAACGTACAATTAATATACATCCAAGTTGTTTAATACTCCTTCCTTTTCTATTATAGTGTGACACTTTTCATAAACAACCTTTTTTTTTAGCATAACAATGCTATAAATGGATATACATTACCCGATTATATGCATTTATAATTAGGAAAATTTGTCAAAAACGTCCTTTAATTTTAAGTGGTGCACTTTGTGGTAAAGGCTCTTTTATCCCACTTAGGTTGTGAAGAGGGACCTTTAACCGGATTCCCTTCAATTTTAAAGGGAGGGACTAGAATCGAAGTTTGGTGATGCTTCTTGAGAAATTACGGTTCGCAGAGAGGATTGATGAACAAGATATTAGGGTTTATTACAGATAAAGTGGAAAAAGGGAGAACAAAGTCGATGACCAGAATAATCCGGTCATAAGACCTTCTTCACAACCTAAGTGAGATAAAAAAAAATAAAAAAAATAATAAAAAAAAAACCTTTGTCATCACTTTTTTTTTATATATGAAAAGACCTTTAGTATAAAATGGAACACTTAAAAGGACCTTTCTGACAAATTTTCCTTATAACTAACATTTTACTTGTATAAAATAATTTTGTTGTATGTATGTAGTGATGCTGCAAGTCCTTGCTGTGAAAGCACAACAAGAGAATCCAGTGTGCGAGGAGCACCTTGGACATCCATGCACTCCTGGTGTTAGAGAATGTTGTGCTAACACTGGACGCCAATGCGTTGCTGCGCCGTCTTCGAATGGTTTCCGGTGCATGTAAACCCGTCATCCATCACCACCAACTGCATATTGACAACCTATTGTACTGCTTAATTATATTAAATCTCCTTTGAGTTCTATACCTCTTTTATGAAACTTTAATGTCTTATTTTTATTTTTATTTTTATTTTTTGGATATGTGTTTATGTTTATGTTGTTTGGTGAAGTGCAAAATCTTGTGTAAAATGGTTGTCTCAATTAATAAATAAAGAGAGTGTCCTTCGTTTTCTAATTTGTTATTTTGGTATTATTAATAACATAATCAATAAAATTATTCTAAAACAGATATCAGGAATGACACGTGTCAATTCTAGGTGCAAAATTTTCCCTCCAAAATTTATTTCCGTTTTATTTTATTTTAGTCATTTTCTAGGAAAGATTTTATCATGATTGGCTAGATCATATTCTCTTATTGTTCTATTATTATTTCGACTATAATATTGTTTCTTATAATTCAATATTTGATTATTTATTTTATTTTCCCAAATTACTACTACATAATTGTCCAAAGAAACCATCTCTGTGTGGTCTCTAGCTAAGCAGTCTCTTTGGCCTAAGAGGCCACTTCATTAAAAGTGAACTCTTGATTTTAACAGAGAGACCACTTATTTCAAATAGATGGTCTCTTTCTCTCTTTTTTTTTTTAAAAAAAAAATTTATTCGTATTTTAATATATATAATATCAAGTAAACAAAAAATACGATTCCTCTACATGTACCATTTACAACGAAACACAAGTAGTTTATACCTGCAAAAAATTTATACAAAACCCACACTAAAAACGTACTCACAAATATTACAATCAATATTCTTATAAAAAATTATACAAAACCCACCTAAACCTACACCACCCCCTCACCTATTCCTACACCATGCCTTCAACCACTACACTAGCTGCTACTGCCAGTGCACCAGCTCCTACTGCCTTCGCAATCGAGGCGTCAAGATCACTGGTCTCCAAGCTGAACACTATGGCCTCCTCCAGTTTTCGCTCTGCTTTTTCAAGAAATTTTTTTTATTACGAGTAATATTTTTTTTTCTTAAAAATCCCGGATAATAATAATTGTACGGATGAAGAAAAAGAAGTTTCTGAGGGAGAAATCAGATAGTACACGTACTGAGTAAAATACATACAAGAAAATCTAGAAAATAACAATTTAAATTGACAAAATACATTTTGATGCTGAAAACCAACATATCTGAATATTATTACAAAGAAGATGGAAAAATAAGACAACGGTGATGGTGGAAAAATATTAGTACAGACAATAGAATTCGACTTGGCAGCCTGCTAGCCATGCTGTGTGTGAGGAGGGTAGTCCGCCGTCGAGAATCTCATTTTCTCTATGCTCTTCACCCTTTAAAAGCCTAGAACTTTACACCTTTTAGGGTGTGTTAGGATTTGAATTCCTGACTGTATTAGGAGATCTTGAATTAGAATTGAGCCCGTCATTACTTTTTTTATTATTTTTTTTTTTTTATAAGTAACCAATAGAGAGTTGCCAATGAGTTTTAGGAAAACTTATAAAACTCGTTCACACCTTTCTCCTAATTAGATTTCAAGAGATATTTAGCATGAATCATAAGTTTACCCATGCCCAAATTGGTCTACTAAACTAGAAATGAGTTTGGGAGTGAGGGTACTAGAAAAACCTTTTCTTTGAGAATCGCAATCCTAGCTCTAGTGCGGCCTCTACTAGTTCTTCCTTTTTCAGAATTTCATTACCAAATAATATATGCATCGCGATTCCTAAACTAATTAGTTGATTTTATTTACAAACATAAATCACAAAAGAGTTACATCACAAGATGTCATTATTCTTTTTTAATTAAATTCAATTCGTGGAAAGAACAAAAATTAACAATATTCGCCAAAACTTAGGTGATAATAAAACAACAATTAATTATTCAATTCTAGTCTTTAATTAACGGAAGAATACTATGTGAATAAATTAATTAATCTTATTTAATGTGACAAAACAACACTAATTATTCAATTAAAGTTAATTAAAAGAAGAAAAGTGCTCAGAAAACTAACCATTCTCCTTTGTTTGTTTAAATCTCCGTCTTGGTGTTTATGGATTTCCCTCCTTCTTTGTACCTCCAAGGACTTCAATGGAATAAATTAGGGTTGAAGAGTACTTGGGAAGAGAGGGGAAAAGTAATATGATAATAAGAGAACTTGAGAGATTAGGTTTTTTAGAATTATAGGGTCTTAATTCTGATTTTTCTATTGTGTTTAGGTATAAGCAATGACCCATAGGTTTAGGGTTTTAGAGACGCGATGTCAGGGGTTGCGCGCAACTTTGGAAGTTGTGCGCATTGTGGTTTGCCTTATACAAAAACACGTTTTTAAAACTTCCATAACTTTTTATTACAAAGTTGGATTCAGGCAAATAAGATATTATTGGAAAGCTCTGAATGTCAAATTTTCGGTGCCATTGAAATTAGGTTAAAATATATTATGGATCTAAAGATTTGGCCGTTGGAGTGCAAGTATGTCGGTTTTAGGGCCCGGTTTAGTATTTTGTGATATCTTCTTTGTTTTAATTCGGAATTGGGTTTATAATATACTGTTGAAAAGCTCTTTGAAAGGGCTATCTAGCTATATAGGCCTTGAACGTATATTATATATTTAACTATTCTGGTTGGCTTGGTTTTCAACAATGTAAGATCCATTTGATCCAATCATTGCATTTGACGCATTTGGGTCCGCTATTAATTAAGATTAAACATGTATGAGAACGTTTTAGGCCTAATTAGTAATCAGAAAAGGCTCTAATATAATTAGGTCTCAAATACGGGTTTTAACTTACATTATAATGCATTTCGGAGTCCATAAACACTTCAACTTTGATCTAGCATGAAGAACAGGTTTTTGTAACATCATCGCACTTCCTGTTAGGACAAGAGGCCAAAAGTAGGTGTCTACAGTTAGCCCCCACATTGATCGAGTCTAAAATAGACAAAGCTCAAAGTAGTCAAGGAATTAAATCCGATACTCATTCTGCAAAGTTCCTTAAAAATAAGTAATCTTTCAGTAGTGTTGAGAATGTCGAAACTATTCTCGGTTCGCTAAATGTTCAAGAAAAATAGCTACTAAGATCAAGGTAATTTAAACTTAGCGTGCTAAAGAATCTAGGTTGACCTTTTGAAAGTATAGAACACTTTTACAAGTTGTAAGGAATTTTTCAAACTCATCTTTGAGCGCTACTGTGGTTCATGATTTTAAGCATGACGACGTTCCAAGGAAAAGAAGCTAGACATAAAAGAGTCGCCAACAAGTTTTAGGAACTTGTAAACCGTTCACGGGTGTGAAGGTTACAACCCATTCAAGATCACGGAGATCGCTAACTCCATAGTGGTCCGGAACCATGACTGGATGTTCGGGGATGATAGTATGAATCTAACCTAAAAGAGACTGAACCCTCCCTAAATAGGCCTCTACTCAATTCTTATGATATTCATGTGCGCTTTTCAATCAATATTCATACATCAAATTAATCCTAAACCTGTTTAATCTACGTTGGTTGATTATTAATGCAAAATCAAATCTAATATTGGTGATCACTTGAATTAAAATCATTTTGAAACTAAATCTAATTATTGATTATCTTATTAGGCGTGTTTTCAAGTACAAATTTAAACCTGCAAAAAAGTGGGTGATCATCAAAATATCGTTAATAGTAAGGTCTTAGGCATGATACTTAACGGATTAATTATAAATCCTAGCATGTTACTAATAATAAGATCAAAGCGTTATCCTAAACATGAAACTAGAAATCATAATTACATCCTAAACATGATACTAGGAATTATAATAACATCTTAAACATGATACTAGGAATTTAAATAACATTGTAAACATGATTTCTACTTCAAAATCAAAGAATTATAATATGAGTGATTAAATTACTCACTTTGATGCCTCAACCTTCTTGCAATTAAAACAATACACACGTTACTAAACTTCAAGAAAGTTAAATCAATAAAGTAAATAAATAAAATATGAATTGAAATATAGATTTGGGACTAAACACTAAGAACAATCAACCTTTCACGTCGATGTCGAATGCAACGTTGAGTATGGTTAAAAGTATTCGAATCTCGCGAAGGAGGTATTGTGGATGATTTAGATGTATCAAGGATGTGTTTAGGCTAAGAACATGTATGATAGATAAGGATTGATCAATACTAGAAAACAATCGTTTTTCAACAGATTAAATCCGTTGGAATCATTTGAAATTCCGTCGAAAATCATCTTTCCGCAAAATTCCGTCGGAATGGTCTGTCGCGAAACATTTTGTAGGAAATTCGACTTTTTCCGAGGGATTTTCCGTCGGGAAAACATATTCTGACGGAAATTCCGAAGGAAATAGATCTGGCAGGATAAACTTAAATTGAGTATCCGTCGCAATATTCCGACGATATTAATTCCGTCGGTATATACCTCTTCCGACGAAATAATCCGTTGTAACCACCTATTTTTGCGACGGAAATATGCCTCGTAAGGTCTGTATTTTTCGAGGGATTAAATTTCTGTCAGAATCTTACGATGCATTTTTCCGTCGCAAAGTTTCGACGAATGTATTTTCCCTCGGAAAGTATATGATTTTCGACATAATTGTCCATCTGAAAATTCGTCGCCATATTCCGATGGATTTTTTTATTTCCGTCGCAATAAAAGGAACCTCTGACGGATAATACCATCAAAAATTCCATCGGAATTTCACCTACTAATTTAACAAATTAATCGATTTTTTTTGGAATTACCACCATTCGAAACCTATACCTCCTGCACCTAATTCAAGATAAAATTAAATAAATGATTTAATTACGAATATATATATATATATATATATATATATATATATATATATATATATATATATATATATATATATAGAGGAAGGCTCATGTAAGAACCCTCCTCTATATAAGAACCCAATCTTATATAAGAACCAATCTCAGCCGTTTATTAGTTTTGATCTAACCGTCCTAAATACAGCCATAGTAATGGCATTTTTGTAATTTCATGCGTCATACATACACCTCCTCTCATCTTCCTCTTTCACATATCTTTCACACTTCTCAAACACATTTCACACTTCCCACCACTTTCTCTCTCTTAAAACCCCCAAACTTCTCAGAAATCCACCGTAATCGCTCCTAATTGAAGCAAATTACAACGATTTTCTTCTACTTTTTGCTCAAATTCAGCTAAATTTGTTC